GAAGTTGAGGGAATTGGACAAAGAAAACAAGCCAAATAAGCGGTTGATGCAAGAGAATCCTGAAACATGGACCGGGTCTTACTTCAGCACAAGATCCAAGTGTGATATTTAAGTGAATAATCTGAGTGGGTCTTTCAACAAGTACATTTTGCTAGCAAGGGATAAACCAATCATCTCAATGTTGGAGTGGATTAGGAGGAAACTGATGAATAGAATACAAGTGAAGAAAAATGGAATGGAAAAACATAGTGGCTCTATTTGTCCAACTGTGCAACAGAAATTAGAGTCAAACAAAGAGGATACTAGGAATTGCTTTGCTAGCTTTGCAAGTGAGTTAAAGTTTGAGATGGATTGTTATGATACAACTCATGTAGTGGACTTGAGGGCAAGAACATGTGGGTGTAGGGATTGTGATCTAACAGGTATACCTTGTAAACATGTCATAAGTTGTATATACCTTACTAGGGAGAAACCTGAAGCTTATGTGCATAATTACTTTAGTAAGGAGACATACTTGAGGACATATTCTTTCATGATAAATCATGTGCCAGGGGAACATGATTGGATTGAGACTGAATATGATGCCATAGCCCCTCCTTACTATAGAAAACCAGTAGGGAGGCCTAGAAAAGAGAGGAAGAAAGTTGTTGATGAGGCTAAAAATGTACAAAGGGTGTCAAGAAAGTACAAAATAGTGCAATGTGCAAAGTGTATAGGTTTTGGACACAACAGAAGATCATGCAAAGGTCCAGTACATAAGAAATCCACAATGTTCAAAAGAAGGGGTGGACCAACCACCAGTTCCAGAAAATCTGCAAGTCAACCTAGCAAGGTAAATTCATTTCAATTTCAGTAATTTCATTTGTATACAAACTAAATTTATTTCAATTTCAGTAATTTCATTTGATGCATTTCAATTTGAATTAAATTGTTATTGCAGTTCGTAAATGCTTCATCTCAACAAGCGGCAAGACACACATATTCATCCCAACCATCTACCATTCATCTTGTTTCATCCCAACAAGCCGCTAATACTCATCCATATTCATCCCAACCAGTTGTCACTACTCAATCACAACCAACAATGCCTTGTGGAGCAAGTGCAAGTGCAAATGGAAATGGATTTACAGCAATTGAAATGAATTGAAATAGAAGAAGTTTTTTGTGATTGAAATGTTGTTGACATGTTGGAATGTTATTGAATTGTACTCATAGCACCTGTTCTTTTTGTTTAGGGTTTAGATTGTTATCTTATGTTGGAATGCACAAGTTTTTGTAATTGATATGTTGGAATGTTGTTGACATTAAAACATGTTTTGTAATTCAATTGTTGACATGTTGGTCTTAGGGAGCAGGTTTTGTAAACATATGTTGATATATTGATGCTTAATGAACATGCTTCACATGTTGGAATGTTATACAGGTTTTGTAATTGAATTGTTGAACTGTTGGTCTTAGACAATCAAACACCATAATGCTTCAAAAATATATTTCATTTATAGCAAAAATAGTCTTTAATATTGCATATCTTCCTTCCTCATATCAGGTTACATAACACTTTTTTTTTCTTTCTTTCTTTTTTTTTGCTTTCATTTGAGAGTACTTGCAATATAGCATAAAAATATTATCCAACTTCCTAGTAACATTCTTCAATACAACTTTTCTTTTTTTTTTGAGCCTTTTCCACTTCTAACCCCGCATGATTTATTTGTTGCACGAGTCTTGGTAGTAGATCACGTGAGCGGCGACACAATGGTGGGTCAATCCACTCAAAAAATTCACAAGTGGCATGAATCTGAAATTTTTAATAAATAAGTTTAGATTTTTTTTCAATATTATATAACATAACAAATAAATAAATGAATTATTAAATATTAAAAGTGATTACCCCATAATTTGCACATTCTATAAATCTTCTTCCCATATTTGCATTTGTCCAAGCTGTTCTAACCGGAGATCTTTGGCCACAGTAGCATGTACGAGCTAAACTTTGTCTACTATAGTGGGAACTTTGAGAGGATGACATCTTTAATAATGGAAGTGGTCCTACAAATTTTTTGGTTGGAAAAAGTGGGTTTGGAATTTTTTTTGGTTGGAAAAATTTGTTTGGTTGCTTCATATTTATATAGGCAAGTTGCTAACCAAATTGGGGGCAAATTGGTCGTTTCGCACTTCTATTTTGGCACCAAAACACTTAAAACCAGCGAAGACATGCTTCTCTAGCGCATGTTCCACACGTGCTGTTAACTCTACCGATTCTTGTCACTTTTACACTTTAGTCAAAACCACATGGTATTTATGAGTATATTTATAGATGTCAGGGGGTAACGTGAAAAAGGGTTAAACCACAGCGGGGTAAAATGTAATTACCCTTATTTAATAAATAACGTATACTATTATTTTTTTTAATTTTTTAATTGTTGCGAGGCATTTCAAAATTTTGTATAATAATTTTTTTAATAAAATTTAATTTAATAAAAAAATCCAAATTAAAGCTTAAATAGTTTGAACAAGCCAAATCCGATCCAAAGCTGATAAGCCCATATTTTGAAGCATAGGGCATATACAGGAGATTCTATTTGAACTCAAAATATGTTTCGGTACGTTCAATTTAAATTCATAAATTTTAATTCTTATTATATCATAATATGAATTTATTAATAAGGACAACACCTATTAAATCCTAAAATATTTTTTTTTTCTTATGATACACCCTAATTAGTTATTCATATTCAAATCTCTGTATCTTCTTTCCCAAGAGATTAAAATTATTTTTCTTCTTCATCCTCCCTCCAAAAACTTCAATCCACCCTACCAAAACTCACCACCATCATCATCATCATCAACTTCATTTTTTTAATTTTTTTTTATTTTGAAACCCTAAACCCAGAAGAAAGTTTGAACAAAATCAAATAATGGATAAGAGTAATAATCAAAATCAGCTTGTTTGGTTCTGGTTTTCAGAAAATAGTTTTCAGAAAATTCTACTTTTTTATTTTTCGTATTTTAATATTTTCAATGAATTTTTTAAATATTTTAAGCAATTTATTTTTAATTTTTAGACACACCAAACATAAGTACATTTAAAAAGTATAATATTTGTGAAAAATCTTTAAAAAATACACCAAATACCAAAAAATACAAATCAAACATAAAAATTCAATACATTTTTTTGTATTTTGTGTATTTATTAATTTTTTAACATATTTTTTCATTAATATTTTACTATTTAGATACATTTAAGTAAGGTGTATCTAAAAAAGTTTTAATTTTTTTTTAAATTTAAAAAATATTCACTAAAAACAAAAAAATATGAAAAACAAAAAACTCAATTTTCAAAAAACTGAAACCAAACATACTGAATATTTTTTGAAAGCAACTCATCAAAAAAGCGGTAAGTATTCATATAAAGGGGTTTCATAATTTTTGTAGAGTACCATCAATTATTTTCTATATCGTTTTTTTCACAAAAATTGAAGGGCCCAGTAGTTAGATTAACAATAACATATTATTGGAGTTGTTTTTATTTTTTCATTTAAATAGTGCATTATTTAAGAACTACTCTTTTTTATTAGTGTTTGATACTTATGTGCTTATAAATTTTGTTTATACTTTTCCACGAACATTCTTGTGAATAATTTATAATGTAAAAGTTTTTTTTCGGCATTGAAAAGTTTTATAACGCTTATGTAAAAGTTTGGTTTTTTTTTGTTTTTTGTATTTATAATGCTTATGTGCTTATACGTTTGTTTAATTTTTTTTTTCTGTATTTAAGAATTATTTTTTATATTGAAAAGTTTTTGAAATAATTTAATTTTTTTTAGTTTGTTTATTATTTATTATTTGAATTTACCTTGAGGGTAATATGGAAAAAATAATAGAATGTAATGAGAATAAAATAAAATTTTAAATAATTAAATATAATAATTTTTTGATGTAAATAAATCCCTGGCATATACTTTAAAAATTTATAATGGGCCTGCTAGAGTCCAATCTGTGGCTCGGTCTTTAATATTTATCTCCAGAACATCCCATTTTTGGGGATTTAGTTATTACAATTTAAAAAAATCAAAAAAGGGAAAACAAAACTTACCTAAATACTTTTTAACACATTAATTTTTTAGACATTGTTATACAAGTCTAAAAATTAGACCTAATTTTAGCCTCCACACTTATGTGAATTCCATATTTATATGAGATATTTGATCATTTATTTAATAGGAAATTTGATATCTTTAGCATTACCCTATCTAAGGGGAAAATGCTATAGGACACAAATTTTCTACTAAATAAATAATCAAATGTTTCACATGGGCATGTAAAATATTTGGTCATTTATTTGGTAGAAAAATTGGTATCTTTAACATTACCCTATTTAGTAGGACTCAAATTTTCTACCAAATAAATGACCAAATGTCTCACATAGGTGTGAATCCCACACTTATGTAGATCCCACACCCATATGAGACATTTGATCATTTATTTAGTAGGAACTTTGGTATCTTTGTATTACCCTATCTAAGGTAACACTCTCTTTGATATTTTCTCAATCATTAACCATTATTAGGTCTAGAAAATGACTATAGAATGTGGGCTTGTATACAAATTCAAGCTCCATTTGAGAAGTGATTTTTTAAATGTTTTTTGGGATAAAATATGAGGTGAAAAAAATTAATATGTCTCAAAAAAATTAATTTTTTTTTTAAATGAAAAGATGAGTGAACAAAAAATAAAAAAATTGACTTTTTTTTTAAATTTTATTTTAAAGTGACTTTTCGAGGGAAATCGACACTTCCCAAAATGATCCTTTGTTTTTTTTTTTTTTTATAAATAAAATAAAATAAAATTTGCCAAAGACTTTTGTCACTTGAATTCTCGTACAAAAAGCTGAAAATTCATAACCAATTACCACTTAAATTTCCATTTATTGATTTAATCAAGCAATAACCAATCTTGCACCATTATGATCAAGAAAAATCCCAAAAATTAAAAACCCAAATTCATCCTAAAAGTTCTAAGGCAATCTCAGCAACAATACTAGCAAGATTAAACAAATTTCGGTTCCTTTCCGGGAGCTGAGACGGATCACCCGGCGGCGTATTAAACTGTTGTTCACAATCACCAACATTCAACATGACCAACGTTGCATCAACCAGCACACTATGATAATCACCATTGCCCAACGATCCCATCAAAGTAGCTATGTACCCCGTAGCAGTGTCATAGGATGCGACACACGATGTATATCGGGCATTTAATTGAGGATCGGTTGCTTGCTGGGCAAGTAATTTGACAATCGGTAAAGTTTGTTGGGCACTATCACTTGTCAAGTTTATGGTGTACTCTGCGAGGTCGCGGAGGTTTGTGGTGGCAATACGTGGATTGGATTTCAATGTTTGGAAGCAAAACGAAGAGTTTTGTGTGTTTGAACAGAGATCTTTGAGCTTGTCATACGTTATTTTGTTATCCCATGACTGAGCAACATAGAGTTGAGTGGTTATGCATGGAAACATAAGTAAAATGGAGAGGATGGTGATGATGGAACTATAACTTGTCATCTTGATGGGGTTTTTTTTTGTTTTTTTTTTTAAAATAAATTTTCTCTACTTATGATTTCAATAATTTCTTGAACTAATTTATAGAGTAATTGAGAAATGAAATAAGGAAAAAACGTATTAAATTTGTATTAGAATTTTCATTTTCTCTTCCGTAATAGAATTTGCTTGCCCAGCATAATCCTTTGGGAATTAATTACCTTCCAGATGTGTCATTTAAACATTTAAATATATGGATATGGATATTGAATGTCATTTAGTACTCTTGGAAGAACAGGATTTACTGTTTGGCATTGACATTTGCAAAAACGTTATGGATTATGGAAATGTATTTTGAATCAATGTTTTAAGAACTGAACTCGACCGGTCGGTTCAACCGGTAGAACTGTTGATCGGTCCTATTTTCGGTGCGGATGATCCACAAAAATCGAATTAGGCCAAAAACAAACCTTGTTTGCAAAAAACGGTAAAACCGGTCCCGATTCTAAACCAATCTGGTGGTTTTTTTCTTCTTCTTTTTGTTCTTTCTTATATATTTATATATATTACTTCAAGACTCTCCTCTTATGAGGAGTAGTCTCATTGGAAGTTTGAAGAAATTATGAAAGTCTATTTTTATTTATAGAGAAAAAATTGTTCAAGAGAACCTAAAAATTCAATGTAGGATAGAATTAAATTGTTTGAATCATATTTGCTTAGAGAGAGATTTGAAAATTTTATTTCCCTCCAAAATTAAATATGGCATTCAATCAATTACTAGATTTAATTTCTAAAGGTCCTATTTGGAAATAACTAAAAGAGTAATATTAAGGACCACAAATGACTTACCAAGTAGGTGTTTGGTATGCACTAAAAAAGTGTACTTTTTTTTGCACGCATATACTTATTTAGGTCACATCAATCAAAATCTATCAATATTTATCAACATTTGCCCTATATTTTTCTACCAGCAATGTTTGAGGGCCACAATTTTTGTGGCTCAAATAGCTCGAAATTGTCAAAACGGCAGCGTTTTGAGTACAAAACAACTTCAAAATAAATTGTCAAAACGACGTCGTTTTGACAATTTCGAGCCATTTGAGCCACAAAAATTGTGGTCCTCAAACATTTTTCTTTTTCTACCCCTCTTTATTTTTCTACACATTTTTTTATATAAAAAGTCAAAAAGTACATCTATTTAGAACATCTCAAATCACCCTTAAATATTCTACACAATGTTAACATGGGTATAGGACCCTTATTACATGACACCTATATGAGTGCCATCCGCACTTGAGTATGTAACAAAATAAATCTTGAATGTTTAATTTTATCAATTTAAATTTTAATAGTTTGATTTTTTTTAAGTCTAAAATATTTGTCTATTTTCGTTAACTAAAACCGACCAAAAAAATATATATTTTAGTCATTAAACTTAATATAAATATGCATAAAATATTTAAAATACTCATTTTTATTAGTTTAATGACTAAAATATTTATTTAGATTATGAATTTTGAGTAGAAAAAAGAAAACAAAATTGTGAGGAAAATATAAATAAAAATTTAAGTTAATTCTTTTTAAAATTTTATTTTTTATTTTCAAATCTCTAATTCATAAAATAAATTTAATTCTCTCTTGTTTTCTTTCTTTAGTTAAATTTTTTATTTTTTATACATATCCACTTTTAGCAAGAGAGTAAGATAAAAAGTAGAGAAACAAGTGAATAGCATACTGGTACAATTTAATAAGGTAATGTATAGATGTAATTTTGTATTTAATAAATAACGTATATTTTTATTTTTTCTAATTTTTAAATTGTTGCGATGCATCTCGAAAGTTTGTAAAATAAACTTTTTCTAATAAAATTTGAATTTGATAAAAAAATCCGAATTAAAGTCTAAATTAAGGCCTCGTTTGGCAAGTGTCCATTTTAGTAAAAAAGTTATTAAAAAAATCAAAAATCAAAAACCTATACCAAAAAGTAAAATTTTTTTTTTCTCTTTACTTTTTGCACATCTTTTCTTAAAAAGTCAAAAAATCATTTCAAATATATTAATTTTTTTTACATTATATTTTAATCAAAAAATTACTACAAAAACCTATTTCCAAACGAGGGCTAAGTCTAAACAAGCAGAATCCCATCCAAAGCCCACAGGCCCATATTTTGAAGCCCATGGGTAGGGCCTATGCTTTTGAAATTTATCCTAGGCCAGCAGAATCCCATCCAAAGCCCACAGGCCCATATTTTGAAGCCCATGGGTAGGGCCTATGCTTTTGAAATTGGGGAAATTACCCATAGGTCCCATGTGGAACATGTGAACACCATTTAATCCCATAACTTTTTGAGTACACCTAAAAGTCCTTTTTCCTCTATCTTTCTGCTTTGTGCTTCCCTTTTTACGTTTTCAACAGCAGTAGCAGAGCAATCCAGCTTTACCCAAATGTGAGGATAACAACAAAAGCCAAAAATAAAACTGGCAGCATCCAAGTTCCAAGTCAAGATCCACCATTACCAAATCATGTTCTTTCCACTCATGCTCTCTCCATTTCTGAAATTACTTACCACTGGCGCAATATCTCACTTGATCTAGATTATATATGAAGTCATTCACTGAATAATGCAATCCTTTTGTAGAAGTCATCATCCAAATCGCAACCCTGCTCTTCGAAAAAATCAAAATCAAAATCAAAACCTAAATTTAAATTAAAAAATCAAAATACACAAATCTACCAAATTTACACAAATAAAAAAAAAAAAAAACTAATAACAGAGGAAGAAGGAGAGAATAACAGATTCTGAACAAGTAGTTTTCGAGTTTTAGTTACAGGCGGTAAAAACTGTAAAATTTTGCAGTTTCAAATTTTTTTGGTACTGGAATGAATCATGGTATAAAACTGTAAAATTTTACAGTTTCATAACATGTTTTTCAGTTTGATTAATTTGACTCCGGCGACTTCCCGGTGATGTTGAACATTCCGACGAGTCTCCGACAACCGTTTGACGGAAGTCCGATGGTAGTGAGATGTGAACAGTGTCTGTAAATTTTAAAAAAAAAAAAAGGATTTTTTGGTAACAATTAAAAATGTGTTGGACTAATTGGTGCAAGTATTTTGTTTTGGGATTAATTGGATCTTGAACTTGGTACATGGGACTTATCAGTAAGTTCCCCAAATTTTTTTTAGTTAGGCTAAAAGAGCCAAAAAGTAAAAAAATCAAGCTAAAAAAACTCTTCTAAAACAAAACCACAAAGATTAAGGTTTATTTTGCCAATTAAAAAAAGTCAACTAATTAATTTATTGGCTTATTTGAATCACATTACATTGGTTTTAAAAAAAAACCAATAAGCCAAAAAAAAATTCACTTCCTAAAATAGTCACTAAAAAAAAGTGAACTATTTTCTCTATTTTTCTAAACATCTTCTAATAAAAAGTTAAAAAATCAATTAAAATATTTATTTCTCATAAATATAATAATAATAAATAAATAAATAACACTCATAACATTTTGAAGCGTAAAAATGACTCGTGACCCGCGGGCCCGGCCCATTTAGGGCTGTTTGGGCTCGAACTTAAGCCGAGCCCAGCCCGAGCCCTTGGGCTTGGGCCATTATTTTGTTAATCTAAAGCTTACTAGCTGAGTACGATTTTGCCTAAATCCTTTGATTTGAGATATATATATATATATATATACGTGAAAAATCAAATATTCGCCTCTGCGATCTCGATCTCTCTCCTTTATGCCGATCTCTTTGTGCTGTGAGGTTGATCTCGTTATGCTGTGAGGTTGATCTGGTTGTGTGATCTGAATCTCTGTGTATAGGCAATCTCTGTGTACTCTTTGTGTGTGTGTGTGTCTGTGTGTCTGTGTCTCACTCTGTCTCTATCTGTCGATACACACACGCGCGCGCGCGCGCGCACACACACACACACATATATATATATATATATATATAAGCAAATTTGCATGATATTTGGTTTGTATTTGTCAATGTTGTTATAGTTCTTTATTTTGTGATAAACTTTGTTTGTTTGATACTTATTTTGTGATTTTTGTATGTGATATAATGTAATGATTTTGATTTTGTTGATTATGTCTGTTGTATAGTGTAATGTGTTTTGAAGTTGTAGTTTATAATTGTGAATTCTGAAATTTTGATACTGATATGTTGTAACTGTATAATTTTGCAGTTTGGAATTGTGAATTATGAAGTGTTGATACTGATATGTTGTAACTGTATAATTTTGCAGTTTGAAATCTGTGAACAATTGTTTGCTGGTTTGTGATTTTGTAGTATGGAGGGGTGTTTCATGTTAATGTGTAAATACAGTAATTCTTGTGCTGCTATTAAGATTAGTGAAGGATGTAGTTATCATGAAGTTATTGAGAAAATATCTGCGAAGTTCAAGGAGTTAAGTATTGGTAACGTTTGTTTGTTTTTCTCTATTATTGGATATTCTAATTGTATTGTTGAATATGATGATAATTTGGGAAATATGATGTCAATGGTAGGTTGTAGTAGTTTTCATGTTGTTGATATTGTTGTGGGTGATAGAAGAATTGTGAAGGTTAATAATAATTCTTCTAGGATTGATTCTGTAATTCGTAAGAGTTCTTTGGTTAACGATTGTGATGATTTTGGTGATTTGTTGCCAAGTTTTTATCCAGAACCAAAGAGAGTTTTGTTATCTGCTAGTTGGAAGGGGATTATACACCGTGTTGGTCAAGAATTTAAAGGTGGAGTATTGGCGTTCTGCATTGCATTGACTAAGTATGCAGTGGAGTGTGGTTTTGTAGTGAATTATTTGAAAAGCAATTGTCAAACCACTTGAATTCTCATACAAAAAGTTGAAAATTCATAACCAATTACCACTTAAATTTCCATTTACTGATTTAATCCCAAAATAAAAAAACCCAAATTCATCCAAAAATTTCTGTAGCAATCTCAGCAACCATACTAGCAAGATTAATCAAATTTTGGTTCCTTTCTGGGAGCAGAAACGGATCAAATGGCGGCGTATTAAACTGTTGTTCACAATCATCAATATTCAACATGAACAATGTTGCATCAACCATCACACTATGATAATCGCCTTTGTAATTTGATTTAATACAAGCTTCTATGTACCCCATAGCAATTTCATAGGATCCGAGACACGATGTGTATCGAGCCTTTTGTCCTTTGACAATCGGTAAAGTTTCTAGGCAACTGTTACCTGTCAATCCAATGGTGTACTCCGCCAGGCAACGGAGGTCTGTGGTGGCGATACTTGGATTTAATTTCAATGTTCGGATGCAATAAGTAGCGTTTGTTGCATGTGCGCAGATATATTTGATCATACAATTTGTTATTTTGTTATGCCATGGCTCAACAACATAGAGTTGAGTGGTTATGTATGGAAACATTAATAAAATAGAAAGGATGGTGATGATGGAAATGGGACTTTGTCATCTTGATAGTTTTTTTTCTCTCTACTTGTGATTTCTATACTTTTTGAACTAATTTATGGAGTAATTGAGAAATGAAATAAAGATAAAAGTATTAAATTTCATACATAATCCATTAAAAATGAATTTATTTAAAATAATAATATTATCACATCATTCTTATAGAGTTTTTTATATGAATAGAATTTTCTTTAAATGGATGGATTTAGTATTCTCGAAGTAATAGGCCTTACTGTTCAACTTTTACATTTGCAAAAATGTTATGGACTATGAAAATGTATTCCAAATCTTACTCCGAAAGTGAGTATGTGATGTAAATTTAAAGTCAGTAGACGTGAATTACACCACGATTATTTTAGACCATTGATTATTTTTCACGATAATTTTCTAGATACTCTTTCTAGATTTGTAGTATTGTTATTTACATTATCTCTAAAGATCTTGTTTGGAAATAACTAAAAGAGAAAGGTTAGGAATCACAAATGAATTACCAAAGACCTAGGGGTGAGCGTGGTCTGGATTGGTTCAGATTGAGGTAAAATCAGGACCAATCCGCTATCTACGGTTCTTGAAAAATTGGAATCAATCTAATCCGTTTAAATCATGTAATCAATCCGAACCAATCCATTTAAATACGGATTAGATCGATTTAGAATCACGGATTCAGATAATTAAATAACAAACAAAAATATAGAATATTTTAATTTCATAAAAACATAAACATAGTATCATATTAGTTTCATAATAGCAACATGTATTTCCATAATAGCGAAATACTGTTATAAAATTTAAACAACCATAAGTATTTAGACCATTACAAATTAAAATTTAAAACGAACAAATAAAAAAAGATACTATACAGGTTTAGGTTTGAATTTAGATTTTACATAGAATAAGAGAAGACACTATGTGAGAGGGTATATAATATAAATATAGGTTATTTATATACAGTCTGGATTGGTTCCAATCTGAAGCCGTGGGGCTCAATCCGGAACTGATCCGTGGATTACGGAATTTTAATTTTTCAATCTGGAAACGAACCACGGATTCAAAAACTGAATCCAAACTTACCGAATTGGATTGGACTGGAACGGATTATGAATTTTACGGATTCTTTTCTCAGCTCTACAAAGACCTACACTACATAGGACCTACATGAGTCCCGCCCTATGTGAGTATTCAATAGAATATTTACCAATTAATCATTTGAGATCTCTAGTATTTTTATAATTAAAAGTGCCAATTTTTTTTATTGAAAAAGTGAAAAAAATTAAAAGACTAACAATTTTATGGATTTTGTTAACAAATACCATTAGAACACTTAAAATGAATGCATTAAATGATATTAATTCCACTATTATAGAAGGTATACCAACACTAATAAATACCTTTTTCTAGAAAGACCAAAATACTTTTTATTCATTTTGTTCTATTTTATCTTTTTCTTTTTCTTTTATCATTTTATAACTAACATATTAGAGTAATATTTAGTTAATGATGAAATACACCAATATTTTTTTTTAACCATATTTAATCAAATTTACCCCCCATACAAAAGCAGTAAAAAATGAGGCACATAATAAAAAGTTGAAGGGGCAAAAAAAATTTGAGCATATCTTTCATCATAAATAATTTTATTATGGGGCAAAAAAATTTTTATCAAAAAAATTAAAATTTCTTTTCATCATAAATAAATTTATTGTGGGACAAATTTGATAAACATTATCATCATACTGCTACGTATCAACTAATGTGAAATTAATATCTCATCCATAATTTTTTTTTTGTCCCTTCAATTTTTTATTATATGTCTCATTTTCTGCCACTTTATTATAGTAAAAATTTTATTAAAAATAAAATTATTGTTGTATTGGACCATTAGCTAATTAATATTATGTAATATATTCATGAAAAAAATACGAAAGTGATATGAAACAATAAAAATAAATAAAAAGACAAAATAAAGAGAAATATATAAAGGGGTATTTTGGTCTCTTTAAGAAAAAATTAATTATCATACTGTTGTATATTTAGTACTTTTTTATAATGGTAGAGTTAATATGTATCATTTAATGCATTCCTAATCAGTGTTCTAAAGACACTTATTAATAAAATTCAAATTTTATTAAGTGATGTTAGGGATTTCAAATAATTTACAAAATGTCTCACATGAGTGTGAGACTCTCACATGTGGGTTTGTGTATGTGTGGGTCACACACCCATGTGAAAAATTTGGTGAAAATTTTGATAAATTATTTAGCGTATGTAACATTTTCTAATTTTTAGTGAGTGATGTTAGGGACCCCAAATAATCTACCAAATCTGTTGGACTCACACACATGTGGGTTTGTGTGAATCTCATATTCATGTGAAATGTTTGATAAAAAATTTGATAGATTATTTGGGTTGGTTTTGTTTTCCATTGAAGCTTTCAATGAGATTTTAAAGGGAGGAGTGAGAGAGAGAGAGAGAGATTTTAAAAAGGGGGCAAAAATTAAAAGCTGTGGAAAAAATTAATTGTATAATTATGGATTATTCATGCAAAATAAATTAATAAATAATATTTTCCAAAAAAAAAAATTGTTTTACATTCAAGCTTTTAATGAGATTTTAGAGATAGAGAGAGAGAGAGAGGACAATTCAAAGAGAGAACAAAAAAAAAAGAGAAAATTATTCATGCAAAATAAATAAATAAAAATTATTTTGCAAAAAACAAAAAAGAAATTGATTTCCATTAAAGTTCTTAATGGGAGACAAAAATAAATCAAAGAGATTTTAAAAATAAAAATTACTGTTGAGAGTGGGATTTGAACCCACGCCCTTTCGGACCAGAACCTTAATCTGGCGCCTTAGACCAACTCGGCCATCTCAACGTTTGTTCAATCGGTCTATTTTTAAATATTTAGTACATTGACTATCCAATGTCTAATTTATATCCTTCTTAATATAAGCAGTGCTACATCTCCACAATTTCTTTCCCCACCATCCTCCTGGCAAGCAAAATTTGTAAGGTTGACCCACATTCAGATAATCCCTCAAAACTCTACTTACAGAACACACAAAATTTTAAAATAACAAAAAATAAAAGGAAAATTTGGCTATAAACCTCCCTTATCTTCCTTTTCTTATTAAAAAGACTAAGAAAAAAATTACACTTTTAAAACCCCTCATAATTATAAAGTCTTGTATAAAGGACAAAATTTATTATTTAAATATTTTATCAGACTATTATACCCTCAATTAAATCTTCCCTAATCGCCATCTCAATCTCTCAAGTTTCGTCTGATACAACTATTGCTTATATATAGATGGTGACTTCACGGCTAGGGTTTCAAAGGAGATCTGGTCGGAGTGACCAGATCTGGTAGCAAATGCCTCCATAGAAACAATAAGAAGATCAAAATAGCAAAAGTTCATCCTCAATCAATGGCTTCGTTGTTTGCACCTAAGGAATAAGCTCTCTGTCTTAAGATCTAAAAAAATCATCACTCGTAACTTTCTCTTTGGATGATTATGACGATGAGCAATACCAATTGACAATGGAGATAGTGGAGGTATGAGAGATGATATATGGATATGGTGAAGATTTGTGGGAGAGAGCTGTGTGTGTGTGTGTGTGTGTGCGCGCGCGCATATGTGTGTGTGTGTGTGAGAGAGAGAGAGAGAGAGAGAGAACACAATAATGATAGAAGACGCAACTCAAGGCTTGGGCTCAACTTCTCATAGATATACATTTCGATTATTGTTTGAGTTAAGAGTTAGAGTTAGAGATTCATTCAATCACTATTTGATTCTTAATAATTTGTTCAATCACTATTAGATTAATTTTACTTAGATTGCTTTGATAATATATGTCAAAGGTGTTTCATTTGCTGATACTTTGTTTAAATAATGGTAAAATTTTACTCTGGTTTACTATAATAATATGTAATTTGTCATTTATTTGCTAATGCTCTGTTTTAAATTAACAATAAAGTTTACTATGATTCAAAATAAAATTTTACTCTGGTTAAAAGCATGTTTATTTGCTTAACGATATAAAATTTTACTTTGAATCATAGTAAACTTTACTCTGATTCAGAGTATAATTTTACTCTGAATCAGAATGAAATTTGCTATGATTCAAAGTAAAATTTTATTCTGAAATTTTACTCTGGTTAAAAACATGTTGATTTGCTTAATGATATAAAATTTTACTTTGAATCATAGTAAACTTTACTCTGAATCAGAGTAAAGTTTACTATGATTCAAAGTGAAATTTTACTCTGGTTAAAAACATGTTGATTTACTTACCGATATAAAATTTTACTTTGAAAGATAGTAAACTTTACTCTGATTCAGACTCTGAATCAGACTCTGAATCAGAGTAAAGTTTACTATCATTCAAAATAAAATTTTACTCTGAAATACACTGTGAAGATGGCTTAATAGGAGAGTTGATAGATATAAGGGTAATATAGTAAAAAAAATAAGTTTTAAAATATTAGGGGGTTTTGAAAGTACCTATATAATTCTTGTCCTTTTGAAAGACAAATTAGACAGTGAGGGATCTATCACCAAATCTCTCAAAATAAAAGTTATAAGTTGCACCAAATAGAGCCCATAAAGCTATTATAAAAATGGGATTTGAAAAAGGTAAGATATATAACTACGTAAGTGATACAGAGCTCTAGAAATAGAGTTCTAATTTGAGCTCTAATTTGAGCTCTACTTACGTAGCAAGAAATCAAAAACAAAAACAAAAATATGGACACACATATCACATCACAGGTAGAGTCGATTATATTAGAGTTTTTCTAGAATTCTCCTTTTAAAGCTCTAAATCATTTTTGTATACACTGTTATCTCATTTTTTAAAGAGGAGTGATGGAGACTCCCTCCAATCACCACCCCTACCACTTCCCACACACATGCGGCAGGTAGTGATTGGAGGACAGGGGAAACAAAAAAAACAGAAATGAAAATCCAACCAATGAGAAAGAGAGAGGGTCAAAGGAGATTGGAAAAACAGGAGATCTTAGACATTTTTGTTTTTTAAATGACTTTGACTCAAACCTGCATCTCAAAAATGTCAACAAGAAGTTTTACTATTTGAGCAAGCCACCATATGCGTTAGAGATGCCTTCAAAAAAGAAAAAAAAAGAAGGTAAACATCCTTAAAAAAATTTCGTAAAAATTAAACATTTTCAAATGTTGGCTAACAAGAACAACGTAGACTTATGATTGGATGATTAATTAAAAATCATATACCTTCAAGCTAAGTCAAGTAGTTGCTCGGTTGTTTAAGTTTGATTAATAAAGCCTCAAAATATGTTCTAATTTTACTTCTTTAACTTTTGAGTGAATTTTAAACGAGATTTAATCAAGTTGATGGGTAATACTTGTTTTTTTTTTTTAATAATAGATATAAATTTATCAAGTTGAGCTTAAAAAATAAAATAAAATTTAACATGCATTCATTGCATTATTTTTTTATCTAACAAGTCGAATATAAATTGAATTTGAATAGTTTGATTTGCCATAATCCTGTCCAAAGATCATATATGAATTAATTTAGTTCCCATACCCATATGTTGCACTAGAAACATGCGAAGATCCATTCCTTCAACAGTTATTTAAAGCCAAAAAAATTATTAAACTTCAAAGAAACCCCTCTCCAATCGTGTCAAATTTAATTCAAAATTTGACAAACTAAATTTTCGCCATGTCAAATTTGTACTAAAAACCCAACTGGTTTTTCCTATCAGAGTTCACTACTTCCACAAATCAAAATTCACAACTAGAAAATTCTACAACTATACAAAACTCAAGTACGAACTCATCTAGATTAGTGAGAGAAAGTACTCAGTTGATCTAAAGTAGGTCATGCAGAAATTAGTTGAATAATAGTTGTGTAGGAAAAAAATTGACCACATTTTGCTGCGACAGTGCTCCGATGACAACTTGATTAAATAAAGCCTGAAACACTCACAAAACAAGGGGGTGTTTGGTGTGAATTATAGGGAGTGATTATAGTTTATTTTAATTTAGAAATTTGTGCCAGATTGTTTGATGTAGCTTCTGCTAACAGTTTTTTAGGCAGAAATAGCTTAAATAAGCTAAGAAAAACTAATTATTTAAAAGTTGGGGAATGAAGGCTTTTGATTTCTGCTTTCTGATTATCAACTTTTAGCTTATAATAAGTTACACCAAACAGCACCAAGGCACTCCGCTTGGTGGTCAACCAGGAAACTCTTTGATGCGTAAATCAATAAGCTTGAAAGCGATGGGGCAAGAGAGTTTATAGTGTAAATTGTTGCATACCTCTATCTGGGTTGAATTCCAGAGTTTATACCTCCCAGGTATCTGTTGAAGGTGGTTGAGCTTCCATTGCCACTGCTCATATGAGCTCCACTTTATGTGGGATGGTGTTCAACACTTGCGGATTTCTAGGAGTTTTTGGTCCGTGTTTGCAGGACCAAGCATTGACCTAGTCTGGTTGTTCAAACTAACGTTCGTGCCCATAAACCACTTTGGTCTTCCGAACTAGCTAGTTCAGTCGCCATGACTAACTCTTTTCTAGCTTGGCCAAGAGGTCGCGCTCTAGTCCTATTCAGACTCAAGGATTTTGTAGTTCGAATTTAACTCCCAAAATGCTGATGTGAAAAACTTAATTGTGCAAAAATAAAAAGTCACTATTAAAGAGGTATAATCAAAATATAATTTTTTTTGCACTGTAACAAGTCCCAAAAAATGACTTTTGGAATTGCTCTAATAAGCCAAAGCTAAGTAACACATAACACATAATATAGAATCGTTTTAAAGAAATGCAAGGTACACACTTTGGGTTTATGATCATACCTTGTGCATGAAATGCAAGTATACACATGCTCTTCTTATTTGGGAGTTTATGTATATATTAAGCTGAAGCAATTGTAGGGCAACTCTCCCTTGGCAACTGATCGTCCCAAAGACTAGGAACAGCTGCCGTTGGAGTGTTGCCCTATAACTGGTTCGCTTATTGAAAACCCTCTTCATATCTCTTGTCGTGCTACGATTTGAGGCCGATGGACCAAGTCGAGGGCTTTATAGGCTCCTTCATCCTTGCCTTTGGAGGGTTTAGAGAGCATATGCCATGGATATCCTTTGAATGATGCTTGCTTTTTCGCATCCATTGCAAAGCACTCCTTTCTTCATGAAAAAGGCTCGTTGCATATATGATTGTTTGATTCTTCTACTTAGCATGATTTCGATTCATCAATTAATGTTTTTAAAAAGAACATTCTCTCTCTCTCTCTCTCTCTCTCTCTCTCTCTCTGGTGGTGAAGGGAAGGTTATAAAGCAGTTCAGAGGGGATGCCATCTTTTGATTGTGGTTTATGAGAGGTGGCAGCTGAACTTTGGGTCTTAGAGGTATATCCTTTTGTTATATTCTCCTGATTTTTTTCATTTGCTTTTAGAGTAATTTTAGAACCAAGCTTGGCTCCCGTCCACTGTTTAGATTGGAGCGTCTAATTTGTCAGCTTGTTTTTTTTTTATTCAAACCGTTGAAATTATAAAATTTGTCAAGTAAATTATCTACTGAAGAAATTAAGGGTTTGTTTGGTTTGTATTTCTGAAAAAATTTTGGGAAATTTTCTCTACAAATAAGTTTTTAAAAGTAATCAAACCAAACAAATTTTTCCAAAAAAATTTCTCAAAACTTGTAAACCAAACAAGTTTTCCAAACAAATCTCTTTCTCACACACATCAAATCAATCACTTTTTTCAAAACTCTCTCTCAAAATAATTTTTCAAAACATCTTTTGAAAAAAACCAAACCAAACAACTTTTCGTACTTTTTATCTCTAAAACACATCTCTCAAACACAAACCAAACATACCATAAGTTGTTAAGATTAAGGCTTTTTTTTTTGGAAAAAGAAAGATGATTTGCTTTGTCCTCCAAGTTGAACTATTAGGTAGAATCATCAAAAATTGATCTAAAGTGGACCGACAATCATATAAACTAGAAAAATATTTTAGAGTTCTAAAATAAGAGCTCTAATGGAGCTCTAGGGTTTGGTGGGTCCTATGTAAAGTAATATTTGGTTTTTTTTTTTCATCACCCAAGTGTATAGAGCTGTGTTTTTTGTTTTGAACGGAAATATAGAGCTGTGTTTAGAATTTCATTTTTAGGGATATATCACTTCTATATAAACTATATCCTCCAATCTAAAATGTGAATTAGAGTGTATATATGTGGCTCTACCCCAAGCCCATCTTAGTGAACCAAACTCTTCAATTTGTAAAATCTATCAAAAATTATTCATACAAAAAATAAGTCGTTAGACATAAGTAACTACCTGATTGAATCACATCTCTTAAAACAAAAAAACAAAGAAAATAACAACTATGCTTCCTCTGTTATTATTATTTTTTGCATAAATATCCTATCTACTTGATTATTTACATGAATAGACAATATTATCCTAATTCTACATATCAACAATGATTTAGACCACTAAAAAATACACCACTAATAGCACTAATGCATTGAAAATGGTAAAAAAAAAAAAACAAGGCATAGAAAGTGGACGAAACCCACTGTCACATCATTAGTACTCCTTCTAGTACTCCATTTTTAGTGCTCCCAAGCATTTTTCTTCTACATATATATACATAAAAAGCATCCAAAAATAAATATTAAATAATAGGTCCCGCTTATCTATTTTTATTCAAGTTTAGCTGTAATCCAACCAGCCATGATTAAAATAAAAAAGAAATAAAGTCCTTTTCAGATTTGTAATTCAAAAAAAATAAAATAAAATTAAAAAAATTAAATTAAATTAAATTAAATGACATTTTGTTTTGTTTTTTAATTTATAAATTTTATCATCTTTCAACATGTCTAGTTGTGGTTTTTAACGGAACAACATCAATGTGGAGAAAGAATGACTTTTTTTAGGTTTTTGGTCAACAACATTGATACATGAATTGAAAGTCAAAAAATTGAATATATATATATACGTATAGAACAATTACAAACAAATTACCTTAACAAAAAAATTTAGAGAGAGAACTTCAACACTGTTCAGAACCAAATCCATTTGGAAATTGAATTTGAATAAGGCAAACGAAGGGGAATTTTAAGTACAGAATTTTCCCTTCTATTGTTTGGTTTCAATGGGGAGAGAAAAAAAAAATTAAATTAAATTTTACAATATTCCTTTATTCCAAACAGTCAAAAATCTTCTCCCTTTTTCTTTTTCTTTCTCTCTTTTTTTTTCTTTTTTTTTTTCTCTTTACCCGCGGGGGGGTACAAGTAAAACATTGAAAATCTCATTTTTAAGTACCAATCCCATGAAATCCCTTCATTCCAAACTAACTGCGAGGGAACCGGCGATGATTTGGGACCTTAAAGGACATTTTCTCAATACAAGAGACAACTAATAGAGAGAATTGTAGGTACAGCAGGTGGCAATAATAGAGGATATACAAATTAAGAGTGAAGGAAGTAGGGTTATGTTCAAGAGCCTACTCTCACCCAAGTACCCTGCCACAGTTATCGTCACATCTGCAATCACTCGAGCAATAGTTCCAGCTTCAGTCGATAGCAATCCACCGTTGTAGGTCCCACGAGATAGCCTTGACGACATAACCCGAGAGAGGAGTGACAAGTTGACACCTGGATGGAAAGTAAAACCGAGTAAAAGGAGTAAGAAACCATCGATCACATTAATATGAGAATATAGGATTTCATAACATTTGTATTGACTATCTAGGGCAAGACCACCAAGAAACTGTCCATTTTATAGTTCATCAGATATATAAACTTACCCTCTAGTACTTCAGCAGACACGAACATAATGAGTCCTGAACAGACATATTGGGGCACAGAATATGGAATTACTATCTGGAAGCTTAGGAGTATGCCCAGACAAACCATAATTTCAGATGCTAATAAAATTTGCCTACAATCAGATCAACGAGAAATGAATCAGCAAGTCATGATAGAAAAGATGTCATTACCATAAATTTGTGTGACATAATGAACAATAACAATAATTTATCTCATTGACAAATCTTGAAAAGTAGGGAAGCAAGTAGATGAAAAATATTTAACAAAGATTCTTGGTTGTAATTTACTTCTTAAAAAAATAGATTTCTTGGTCATAATTCCTGCCACACCACGTCTGTAGCTGGGGGAGGGGAGGCTGGTTAAGCAGAAGTAGTTTTCAGGAGAAGAAGAAAAGATCAACTTGTTTTTTGAGTTATTCAGAAAAATGTCCGAATTTCATGGATAACCTGGGATTTATGCTTTGAGAAAAATAGTTCAATTTCAATGAGGAACAAACTAATGATCTAGCGATCTCTCTGTATGTAAAAGCACCAGTGCAAGCTTTTCAGATACATTAAAACAGAGAAAACCCTGTTTTTGGACTTCTGTAAAGAAATTTTTGATACTGAATTGTTTATTTAAACTGAGAGAGTTCAGATCAGCAAGTATAACAAAAGTCCAGCATTAAGTAGAGATCAAAAGCACACCACCAAATTACCTGTCTTCGAACATGTTGCTGATGTAGCTTCCAACAACAATGTTTATTGGAAGAACTGTTAGGCCAAGACAAGCAAGAAAAATTGCCACTGTGCTCGTGGACCAATAGAAGTAGTATGTGGTGATGACACTAGATTCTGAGAGTAAAATCTCCATTGCATATTTAAGCATGAAGTAAATCAGCAATTGAACCTGAAAGCATAAGATAAATTCTCTGTGAGATCTCACATAAAAATTAATTATGTTTTGGCTAAAGAACCGCAAAGAGTGATGAAGACCTAAGAAAACTGACATCAGAGTCCATATGGTTACCAAACTTAAGAGTCAGGTGTTTTGACTCACCCCAATGAAAATCATAGACATAAAAACAATTCTTATCTAGAGATGTGGATTCTCGAAGCATTATTTTTTATTATCCAACAATGAATAGGTAGTGGCCCATGTCAATAACCCTTTAATCAGGAGGATTTACCAAATATGGTTGTGTTAAGATTACAATATAACCAATTAGCTACCTCACATGGGTATAAATCTATCAGGTAATATAACGTCTCTACTGCTCTTACAAGCCAATGAATTAATTCATATTTCTGACACTTCTGCTCTTTTTTGTAGTGTTGAATATCTAGATTCATGTCCATAAAAACTACCGCCACCAGCTAAATTATTATTAGCCGTTTTAATAACAAGAACCCCTAACTTAAATTTTGTTGATGTCCAGTGAATCAGAGATTATTGAAAATGAAAACTCAAGAGTCAAAAAGTACCTTTACAGATGGAGTGAGTAATCTATATGCCGCTGCTAAAGAAGTGGCTGGTTGACGAGACTCCTCAGGAGCTTCTTCAGTTCCATCACATTCTTGGTCATCATCTTCATCTTGTTGATTGGCTTCTGAACTATAGAGCAATGGTTGAGCAAGACCACTTTCAAGTGCATCATTCTCTACTTGACCTGCAATACAAAACATCCATCATCTCTGTCAGCCTTTTCAGATATTGACAAATAGAAGTATACATATATTATACATTTAGATATATAATTTAATTATTTTATAATCATAATCTGGAACACATGAGCAGACCAGCATTTTCCGAAGAACAGTTTGAGTGATTGAAAAAGATTCAAAAAATAACATACTCATGCCCATATACAGGCCAACACAACTTTTGCCTGACTTCTGTGGATTACATTAGCAAATATTGATTTTTTTTAATTGTATAAACTCTTTAACATACTAAACATTTTAGCTACTAAATTATCTGGGAAAACTCAAATCTACACAACAAAGAAACAAGTGAGATACCTTTGTGTAGAGATAAGAAAGTGCAACACCCTAATATTTTGAAGACTCTGGGCAACTAACGCGAGACTTACTAAATTACCAAAGTTACACTGATTTGGACATAGTATTCTATAGTAGATCCAAGTAAAACTTCAACTAATTCAACCACTTCTGCAGACCAGCTTAATAAAATTTCAAGAGTTTTAATCTTTTTCACAAGCACACAAAGCGAATCATAGAAGTGAAAATACCAGCATTATGTCCTTCAGGTGTATGTTTCTGATCAGTCTCACGTGAAGGTTCTTTAAATGAGATCCATAACCATATTAGATAAAAAAGCCATGCTACAGACATAACCCATCCAGGCAAAGTATCTTGGTTAAATGTGATCTTGTAAATCTTGAAATTAGTTTGAAGTAAGCCAGCAAGTGCAGGGCCACAAGCCATTCCAAGAGCACTGGCACTAACAAAAGCTGCTGAAGCCTGCAAGCGGATTTTGAGTGGTACACAGTCGCTGATATAACGCCGGTTAACAGCTCTGGCAGAACCCAAGCTGCAAATTTGGAAAAACACATTTGTTTTGAAGTATGTTATGAGGTACCGTTACAATCTCAAATGCCACAAACTTGTTATGTCTAGGGCCCTAGGCAAAAATGAGGAAAAAACTAACTGTGCACAAATTAGTGCATGTGCAATTGCTAAGGAAAGTAAAGCAAGCCATATTATCATAAGAAAATGATATCACTAATAACAGGTCCTCCTAATCATAATCTTATACTTCTTTGCTTGAAGTTCTGTTCGGTTCATCAGCATATATTTTAACCTTTAATGTTTCTAGGAATATGGATAAAAAGCAAATGTTGCACCAGCACACCCAGAGGGGAGAGAGAGAGTGAGAGGCTTACCCACAAAATATACGGCCCATTAGAAGAACTGCAATTGAATTAAGGTCGTAAGCCAATGCATACATGATATTTCCCACAAGCAGAACTATACTACTAAATACTAAAGGTTTGAAGTATGATTTATTTGACCAAGCACTGAAATACACTGAAGAAAAGACCTGCGCAACGGCCATTGCACCAATCACAATCCCACAAACAGTTGCAGCAGCACCAAGGCTGATAGAATAGTCATCGGCTGTTGGAACAATGATATATGAGTTGACCATGTACAGAAATGTGTTTGCTAAGTTCAAGAGAAGCGACATAAAATGGTATGTCTGATCATCAGCATATTCCTCAGTTGGAGTAGGTAACTCTTCTTGCATTGTAAGTGCATGTTGTGCCAAAAAGTGAAGGAAGTTTGTTGAGTGTGTTAATCTGTCTACAGCTGCTTTTATGGATTCAATGACAGGATCCTGCAGATGAACCTTATCAGTAACAATACTAAGAAATAAGCAAATGCTGCTGTCCTATACAAGGTTTAAGATGCAATGTTGCATTAGGAGACAAAAACAACAATCGGAATGAACTGGATTAAGTAGAAGCAGATGTGAGAAAAACCTGTAGGGGCAGAGCCGGTTGGTCATAAATGGATAAGTAGCTTCCTTGACGGTCCTGAAGATCTGCAAGATTGCGAGATACGGCTCCCACAACTGCCCCTAACCCCTGAAAGTTCCATTCATTGTGAGTGATAGGTTGATACACACAAACATGTAATTTCATTACACCACCTAGCTACTCTATTATCGCTCACCTACCCCAAGAATAAAACCAGCATCTAAGAAGAGTCCCATCTAGAAGCGTCAAGTATAAAAATGCCTAAAGTGCATAGAAGGAAAGGAAAACAAAAAAAAAAAAAACAAAAAAAAAGATACAAACAAACAAAAGAGAAAACAAAGCCATTGATGTGGGCACATTACCACATGCTTGAACACTTGTTGCAGCTGGGAATAAGGGTGATTAGCACGAGTTTTAACATAGTAATCAGTGAATCTATAGCCAAATCGTTTGTCAAACTTCTTAAGTATCTTACGCAGACCAATTGCATTCATCTCAACAAAAATTAGAAGCTTCAAAAGATCTCGTCCCACTGCTCTATAAGCTTCTCGTAGTTCGGATATCTTGGATATATCTGGCTGCTGTTGAAGAGAATCTTGCTGTTCTCCAAGCTTGACAATCCTGCTTGCAAGTAGTCCTTGTTGTTGCAACAGAAAAAGGACAATCTTTTCAATCTGTAATTATAACAAGGAGAAAGCATAAATTAAATATTCAACAAATGATAATAGGAAGAAAACAAATGTTATATATTCAACCTTAGGCATGAAATGGAAATTAGAATGCCATGCAGAAACATGAAAAATCATATTTTGCAAAGCGCCTGCCTGTATGATATTGAACAAGCTTCTCAATCAGAAGTATCATACACTCACATGTGTACATATAAAAGGAACATTGTAATGAAGCTAACAAGACTCAGGAGTGTATGTCCATTAAATCTCATTATCATACAGGCAGAACAAGAGGAAAATTAAAAAAAAAAAAAAAACACACTTCTTCAAACGGGAAGCCACTCTGAGGTATTTGGCCTCTGATGAGACATTCAGAATCTTGATGGGACAACCATCTAACAAGAGCATTATGTTTCCTTGGTTATTTAGAAGGTTTGACTGGTCTACTATAGAATTTTCATTACAGGTACATGTTTCAAAGTTAAATCCAACTCTGCGGACCTTTCTATCGCTTACAAACGAACACTTTTAGAAACAATAAGCCAACGTATATATTCTAGCATACCTGGTTATCCAGCATTCTTGAGAAATCTTTGAGAACATGTCGGCGTTCTATTGATCCAATTTGAATTTGGTGAGCATATTGCTTTACTTTCTTCTTCATTAATTTGTAGTTGATGTAATATCTGAAATGGCAACAAATTAGAGAATATTAAAAAGATGTTCTATGATAAAATCAATAATAATCAACCAGCCTATTCCAAGTTTTGATTTATGACTCATTGATTTTTCACTCCACAACCAGGTATGCTGGATCATGCATCTTCACATATACAAACAGATTGATGGCCATATGCTGCTCAAAGGAATAAATTTAATTTTTATATTCCACCCGGGAACTCGTACATAGCTGATAGCACCATAGTTGGTTAGTGACAATTGACAAGAACTTGGATCTTTTCCACCTCATGTACTGTTAACATCTATCGATTTGGAGATCTATTAATTCACAAAATATAATAGCCAATTAACCAAGATCATCATAGGCTACAGAATTAGCCGAGGAAAGAATTAACTCTAGCTGGATAGGACATAATGTATAACATCCCACTCCTAGCATGCCAACTTTCGTGATAAAACATGAGAATGAAAAGATACTTGTCTTGTCACTAACCAATGACTGGCTAGAAAATGAAACTTCTTTTTCTTATTTTTTGAAGAAAAATATCATGACACCTAGAAAATGCACATAGGTAGTAAGCAACAGAAACTACTTCAAACCAAAATACATGTTTACATACCTTTGCCATTCTTGAATTTGTCTTTCCTTCAACTTTTTCCCAAAGTTAACCATCTCTCACTGCATAATTGATACGAGAAAAATAAAATGGCGAAGTATTAATATTTCAACAGCAAGAAATCAACCAGTTCAAGTGTGCACATAATCTGATATGATGCTTTCCAACAAAGATCACTATTAATTTGTTACCTTATGTTGCAAAATTAGTTTCTTAAAGAATGCAACAAATAAGTTATAGCCTTTTAAGGTTGATGTCATTCCCTCATTACATAGCTTAAATGTGAAGTCAAATAAATAGGACAAAAACTATCATTATATACCATAAAATATAACCAAAACAAGCAAGACAGACTGGTCAATAAGCAATTTAATATTCGGATAAGCACATATCTACCCAACCATTGGTATTAATGCCTGTACGAACTTTGTATGCAGAATTCTATCCTCACTCCCATTAAGAAAATTATGTACACCAATGTTTTAAAGAATGGAAACAACTAGCCTGCCCGACCCTCCATGAATTGTTTTCTGGTCAGTGAAGTGTTCAATCAACTAAAGCACACAATTGAGGTTGTAAAACTTTAGAGTAACTAACTATACACAACTTTTTGCTTTTATGTGTCGTTATACATCGTTTAGAAGTCACAAAAAGACATTTTAGAACAATTATATCAATAATTGAAATGTCCAATAAATAAGCAGCAAGGAAGCACGGGTGTAGGTACGAGTACGGTACGGGTACGAGTGCGGGTACATCGATTCGGCAAAACTCAAAAAAAGTATGATACGGGTACGGCTGCGGTACGCCGATATTTTTATTATTATTTTTTTTAGATATAATTATGGTTAAAGGATCCAACCTACAAATTAAAATTAAACATCAAAACTAAAAAGAGAACTACTCATTTTCCTATAATTTAAAACCATTAAGCGTTAAAAATAATATTTGTGAAATCTCTCACTTTGACATGTTATGTACTGTGAATTTGTGATCATAATTTATTTTTAAAATTTTTCTTTTTGCTCATCAATTTGCTATTTTTATAAGGTGAGACCAAAGAAATAACAGGAGACCAAAGAAAGATTTAAAGTTAATTGCCAACAGTAAAGGAAAAAAAATTCTCAATTGGGACAGGTTGTCAATTGCAATTTGCATAATACATAAAATTGCATCACTCTCAACCACTATTAATCAACTAATACAGTATCAATTTTTAATATTTTGTGCATAAACTTTAAAAGTTTGTTATGGTTAAAGATTTTATAAAGAAATTCTAAAAGGATCTGAAGCAAAAGTATAATGCATAGTCATACGCAGAACTACCCTTCATAGGCCTTGTTATTTTTTTTTTTTGTTCAAATTACTTTTTAAAAATATCAAAATCATTTGTTGATATGCTTATACAATTCATACAGATAGATAAGACAGTAGAGAAACATCAAAATTACTAATCTGCAAGGGCACAAAAAAAAAATAAACAAATAAACAAATAATAATTGTTGATCTTCAAGGGAAAAAAAAAAAAATTGGTCCTGGCGTACCCGAAACGTATCAACGGCGTACCCATGGCATACCCATGGCGTACCCATGGCGTACCCACGCCGTATCCGAATGAACTAAATGTACCAGACCCTCTTTCGCCGTACCCGGTATGCGTACCCGCATCCGGTAAGTACCCGGTACTCGTATGGCACTATTTTTGGAGTACCCATGCTTCATAGGACTCAGCCATGTTCAATTTGGTTATATCAGCAGAACATGCCCATTAAATTTCTCATGACTGGGTCTCCAAAAACCTAGTCAGGATATACATTCGTGATATACTTATCAACAAATTAACTACATATGTAGCACAAATCATCAAAATCACAAACTTGAGGTTATAAAACTCCCAAGTAACTAACTTTACACAACTTTCTGCAATTTTGGTGTGCTCATACTAGTCTTAAAAAGTCCAAAAAAAAAAAGAGAAGACATTTTAGAACATTTGTATCAATAATTGAAACGTTCAATTTGGCTGATTCAGCAGAACATGCCCATCAAATTTCTCATGACTCTTCAATCTCTGAAAAACTAGTCAGAATATACATACATACGCGGTACTCATCAACAAATTAACTATGTAGCACAAACTAGTCTTTTCTTTATCAAAATACATCCTCCCCTTCGACCACTTATATAAAAATCATTGATAGTGTTTAGGGCCTGTTTGATTAGTAGGATTAATAATGAAGAGATTAAAAATCTATGAAATTAATGTAAGATTGGTTATGTAACTCAATTAGCGAGATAAATAATTTCCTCTCGTCCACGTTTATTTTGCAATAGATATAAAAATATATAATCCTCTGCTTTGCGTTATTAATCGTATCCATGGATTAATAATAATCTCAATCTTATACTTATAATTAGACCAATCAAACAAGTCCTTACAGTACAAAGACAAATTAAACAGCCATAACGAGAAGCACAATGATTGACAAGAAAGCTGAAGAACAAAACATGTATAATACATATAAAAACTATGTATATAGACTAGTTAGGAATTCGAGTACCTTTTTTTTTCTTCCTTCTGAGAGCTTCGATGTGCTTTAACAAACAGAGGAATTGAACTTGAGCGAAGAGAGTAGGGAATGAGTGCAAAACGAGGAGAGATTCAGATTCGAATCAGTGAGGATGCGAATCGTGGTGTTTGGATCAAGAGAAAGTGGAATTGCTAGTAGAAGAGAATTCGTATCTTCTGAAAAGAAGATTTGAATTTTTGGTGAGTGAATCAATAATGGCGAGTTTGCTAGATTGGTTATTGTGGATACATGTACCACGTGCGTGCTTATATAAATTGTAGAGAGGGAGAGAGAGAGAGAGAGGGAAGGGGAAAACCATTCAATATTTCTAGCACGTCACCTGTTTATATTTCTCGCTAATTTTTTTTATAATTATATATTTTAATTAAAAAATTAAAAATTGATTATAAATTTTCATATCATTCTTTTTATTAAAAAATAATGTTGGAGATTATAAAAATTTTATCAAAATTTTTACAAAGATTTCATATAGATGTGCGACTCACAACATCATATCCATGTGAAATATTTAGTAAAAATTTTAACAAAATTTTTAAAATTTCTAATATTTTTGTTTCATAAAAAATCAAATAATTATTAAAATAGTATGCTGCCAAATGAAACATTAGTCACTTAATAAAAAATCATGATATTACCTTTTTCGTCAATCACAATAACTTAGACCACCATATGACCATGGTCTAGAAGCATCCAATAACTACTCGAGGGAAGGGAGGGAGGGAAAGGTGATTTCAGTGCTGGCGGTGACAACTTGACAAGCATGTGGCAAAAATGTATTGAAACTGGAAATAAGAATTTTGAAATATCTTCTCTTCAGTTGGAGAAGATAAAAATAAATAAATGAATAAAAAATTAAGACTTTTGAAATATATATATATATATATATATATAAAAATACCTTTTTTACTCAGCCCTTTGTATTGTGGGCCACTATGACCATCTGATAGTTCGGCCCAAGTTTCACCAAAAATTTAAAGCGTTATTTTAATTATTTATTTTGATAATGTTGACGCTATAATTTTATAAAATTGTTACTTGAATATTTATATATTAATTTTAGTTAAATTCTTTGTGTGTTTTGATAATTTTAATTATATCATATTATAAAAGTATAATTATCATATAACAATTTTGTATGATATATATTAAATTATAAAATAGTAAAATAAATACTTATTTTGATATTAAAAATAATATTTAAATTAGAAAAAGAATTAGTAACATAAAATTAAAAGTAATTCTCACGATTTAATTTTCTTTTATATTCATTTGAAAAATAAAATATGTAGAAATAGAAATTGTATAAAATTCATAAAAAAAATTAAATATAAATATATTGTGCTTGGATTATCATATAATAATTTTATATGATATACAAATACATATTAAATTAAAAGATTGTAAAATAAACACTCTTAATTAAATTAAAATATCAATTATATAAAACAAATTCAACAACGACTAACCAAAAAAAAGAATCACATAACAATATCTAAAGCCAAAAAGAAAAAAATAATGAAAACATCCAACCGATAGATACATTTCAGTGTGTGAAGTAATTAATTATCTGTAATATAATATCAAAACATAAAAGAACTTACTGTTCAATAATTGAAAAAGTAACCTAAGTAGTAAATTCAAACTTTAGAGATTTTTCAAGAGTATTATTGATGTGCAGGTTTTTCCTCTTGTAAGTTATGATTATATAAAATAATGTAAGAAATAAAGTATAATTTCATATATAGAATCCCTATAAAAATGACAAATCCATGATATAGAATAATCACTACAAGAAAAAGCACTATTAGCGACTAAAAAATCACATTTCGTCGCTGAAAGTATAGTATTTGGCGACTAAAAATGCATTAGTAGCCAAAAGTAAAGATTTTTGGTTATTATAAAAATTTAATAGCCAAAAGTATAAGTTTTGGCGACTAAAAATCTGTTTGGTCGCCGATATATGGCTTTTAGCGACTAAAAAAATTTTAGTAGCCAAAAGTAAGGCCTTTTAGCGATTAAAAAAAATTTAGTAGCCAAAAGTGAGGCATTTGGCGATTAAAAATCTATTTGGTCGCCAAAAGTGAGACTTTTACCGACTAAAAAAATTTTAGTAGCCAAAAGTAAGGCCCTTTGGCGACTAAAAAAAATCAGTAGCCAAAAGTGAAGCATTCGACGACTGAAAACATGTTTAGTAGCCAAAAGTGAAGCTTTTTGGCGACTAAAAAAAAGTTTAGTCGCCAAAAGTGGTAATTTGCACGTGGGAATTTTTTTTTAACGACTAAAAAATAATTAGTAGTCAAAAGTATAGAATTGGCGACTAAAATTATGTTTAGTCGCCAAAAGTGGTCTCCTTTTTTTTTCTACTAAATAATTTATTTTTACATAAATTATGTTCAATAAAAAATAATTATGTTTATATATATACTTTTATATTAATACGGGTCTAAGTACTATATAAATAATATATGTTGCATATATAATCATATGATGTTATGGAGGCGTAGTGAAATGAGTCTGTTGTATAAAGTTAATGGTGTGCAGGGTGTAAATTTTTTTTTTTCGGAATGAGCTTTTGGCGACTAAATCTGTTTGGTCGCCGATTCCTTGAGTATTGGCAACTAAAACATTAGTCAGTAAATGTATAATTTAAAAAAATATAATTGACTATTGGCGACTAAAAATTTAGTCGCCAAATGTATAATTTAAAAAATATAATTGACTATTGGTGACCAAAGTTTTAGTCGCTAAAGACTTGCTTTTTGGCGACTAAAAGTTTTTCAGTCGCCAATACCTTTCCCGACCGTTTTCTAGCGACCAAACCGGCGACTAAAAATTAGGCGCCAAATGTGTTTTTTTTTATAGTGAATGTAGAATTAGTATTGGGTATAGAAAAATGCACAGAAAAATAAGAAAAAAAAGGCAATTTAGTATTAAAAAAATTTTAATACCCTTGAAAGAATTAAGAAAAAAACGTGAAACGCAAAATTGGTATTGAGTTTGTGAATTATCTCAATTTACTATGAAAAAAATATTTGTCAAATGGAGTACATATAAAATAGGAAAAGTTAATATAATTAAAATTAGGTTTGAGTTTGTGTAGTAATTAAGAAAAGGGCCGTGCTTCAGACCCCCACTGGGGGTCGACCCCCAGTGACGTGGCAGCGCACCATTCGTTGAAAAAAAAAAAAAAAAAACTGTTTTTTTTTTGGGCCAATCACGAACGACCCCAGTGACCCCCACTGGGGGTCTTAGGCATTTTTCTTAAGAAAAAAAAAAATCCTTATAATATGTCATCTAAATATGTAAAAAATATTATTTTTAATAATATATATATATATGATTACGAACGAGTGAGGCTAAATATTTTTATTTTTTTATATTCAGATGTTCAAGTATTGTCAGTGGACCCAACTCGTGTTTAAGATCTCCAAATTTTGTTCAATCAACCATTGGAGTTAAACAAATCTGTTTCATAAAAATATACAAAATATTATTGGTTACTCAAAGATAGAGTTCTTGTTTTTTGGCCAATCTCAAAGCTAGAGTTCAAAATTGAAACGAATGACTTTACAACTCAATAAGTGAATTTGTCATTATATTAACAACCGTGTCCCACTAACGAATATATTATCATTATTATTAAAAAAAGAGATTTGGAGCAACCCTAGATATAACTCATTAAAATCAACAATTAAAACTTCAATAAAATCATTAACTTTTCTTTATATATAAAAAAAATAAATAAATAACAACTAAGCTTCAATTAGTAAGCTTAACCTTTCACAAAATATCTATATAAAAAGATCGTATAAAATTATACGAATTCCTTCACTTTTTTTTTTCTTCTCCTCTTTTAAATAGAGAAAATCAATCTAAACTCTAGGAACACTGTACGGGGAGGAAATAATTCTCCTCGTATAATCCTGTTGACCAAGTCCTCGCTCCTCCGTACGACGTCGCTTTATCACTTGAAAACACAAACGTAAGCTAGCCGGCGGGTGTGTGCCGGAAACCTCTCCGATGCCTAAGTCAATAAGCTTGACAAATAGACAAGGTTTTATGCTCTCAGAAAGAATTATGTTCAATTACCTCCTCCAAGGTGATGTTTGTAAGCTTTTATAAGTTTCCCGTGGCACAATCCTAGTGGGACTTGTATTTCTCCATGCAGAGTCCTCCTAGGATTCATACTCCTAAGGATAATGCTTATCCTTTTACACCCTCCCCCACTGCTTAAACCAAGTGGGATGGTTTTCTCCATGGCCGAATCACCATTTGACCGAAGTAACACTGGCTATGCTAAGCCATAGAGAAGACCGAACTATCCTTAGCTCGGTTTTCTCCCGTTCAACCATGGTATGCTGAGACCAAGCTTCTGAGTAGCAAGCTCCGACCGATCTAACCACAATACACCGCAACCGGACTAACTTTGAGACCGGACTAACATCAAGTTACCTCCAGATCGGAGTAGCTTTACACCATCTTGGGCCGAAGCAATTACACCTCTCCTAACCGGAGTAACCATATCTCTCCTGGGCCGGACTAACTATGCTTCTTCTGGGCCGAAATATCATTACGGCCTTTTTACTGAGTCATTCACACTTTGGGCCAAGTCCATCTTACAGCTCGGTCCAATTCTCTCCAAAAATTACCCTCTCAATTGCCCCTTAATTCCATCTGCACAGCGTGATTGGGATTACCAGTCCACCAACCGAGCTGAAGTTTATTAAGCCTTTCCAGCCGAGCTAAAAACCCTTTAGCTTCTCCAGCCGAGCTAATTTTACTCCGAGCTCCGTTTTGTCCGGTCAAAAACGTCTCTTCAATCACAGCGTCTGTAACGCTTCCCATTTCAGTGACACGTGGCATGCTCTGATAAGCTGTGGCCAACTGTCACGCCGCCCTACAGAAATTTTGTACTGTTCCCGCCTTTTCTTTCCGCCTTTTTCTCTCTCCTCTTTCACAAAACAACCTCTCTTTTTCTTGAATCACTTCACCTTCCATTCTTCATTTCCTCTCTCTGTGTTCTTGCCGTTCGTGCTCTGCAACAGTTTTCATCTCCAGTCCCTGCTTCACCAATCTAGTAAGCAAATCTACTTTCCTTCTTACTCTGTTTTGCTTTCGCATCTGTATCTCTTGTTTTGTATGTTTTTTGCCAACACTTTCTTTCATTTGCTGCTTTCGCTTCCGTACTTTTATGAAAAAACCAGTAGAACTTATGTGTGTATGAATTATCCTGTAAAAAACTAGTCTTGGATCCAAAATCATGTAGCAACCAAACTAGGATACTGTTTGTCC